TTCAACAGGAAGCCTTACAAGAATGCTGAAAAGTTCCATTTCTTAATCTTAATTCAGTATTATGTGGGTATTGATTCTATAATGATCTGTTAAACTGTACATTAAGGTCTTATGCATTTTCTGTAGTATATGAAATACTTTTAAAGAGAAAGGACTAAAACATGTTTTAGAATAATATTTAAGTAAGTGGTGGGGAAAAGATAAATTTCCTATGCAGAAGAATTCCAAATAATTTATATACATACTCTGTCCTCAAGGAGGTGGAGCATACATAACTCCTTGCTCCTTTAACTGTAGGCTGCACATAGAAACTTTCTTCCAAAGAGTACAGTACAGAAGGTGAGAAAGGGTGATTTTACAGTGGTGAAATCTGATACATACTACCTCAGCCAGGTGATCAAGGTTAACATCAACAGTGGAAGTTATACTGACAGTATGTATCTTTGACATCATGTGTTGAAAATGGCATATTACCTCTGTGGTTTTCCTTCCAGAAACCCATAACCACTGTCTAACCATGAAAATCATCAGACAAGCCCAAATTGAAGGACATTCTATAAAACACTTGACCTGAACTCAAAATTGTCAAGGTCATCAAAAAAAAAAAAAAAAGGAAAGCCTAAGAAATTATTCAAGCATCCTGAAACAGAAAATGGATACTAGGTAAAAACTGAGAAAATGTGAATAAAGTATGGACTTTAGTTGGTAGTAATGTGACAAAGCAAAAATTCTTTTATGTTCTAAATTAAGTGACATAAGGACAAGAGGATGAGGGAGAGAGACAAGGGAAGGTCATCAGTCAATAGTTGTAGGCTGCAGCTAATCAGAAACCCCACATTCTTGGATGAAATCATTTCAACAAGCATCTAGAAGATTCCCAGGACCACAGCATCCCCCTCATATATGATCTGTCTGACCATCAACAACCAATCTATGAGCTATCTCTATGGTCTAACCACCTATTCCAGGACTTTGTCCACTTCGCATTGGCCTTCCTTCCTTATCTGTAGCCAATGTGAATTTAACTTTTTTTCCTAGAGACCTATCATAAGTGAGCCGTTTCTTGAGTCTGGTGGACAAGATGTTTCTGTTAACTGGCCTTGGTGCTGGTGAAGCAGAAACTTCCTGCCCCAGGACTCAGTCTTTAACTGGCTCTCATCTGTAATGGCTCAATAAACCCTTTTATTCCAGATCTCTAGAGTTTTTGACTTGTCAAATGTATGAATAGTGGTTTCTTAATTGTAAAAAATGTAGTATAGTAACAAAAGATGTTCCTAATACAGGAATTTGATGTGGAATACATGGGAACTCTGTACTATCTTCACAAATTTTCTGCAGATCTAAAAATGTTCTAAGAAAATTAAGTTTAAGAAATAATATGCAAAAGGCTAAGTTAAGCTAAAACCATTTTTCTTTTGATTTTAAAAATATCTAAAGTTATAATTTTTTCAAATATATCACTTTTTCTTTGAATCTTCACTTGCTTTGTGCTTAGGAAGTCCTTCTGCATCCAGTCATCATTCATTTGACAGATTCACTCATAATGCTCTGATGTGCCTGACACCATTTTTAGTGCTGGGGATGCAGTAGAAATAGCATTCATTCACATGAAATACAACTTTCAGTGGTTGGATAAAAATTAACTACTAAGGCATTCATTGAAAATACTAATAATTACTGTTGGCAAAACTGTGAAGAAAGGGTCCTGCCATACACCTGTTTCAACCCGTTTGAAGGACAATTTGATGGTTCCTATCAATAATTATAACACAAATACCACTTGGGACAACAATTCCAATCCTATCTATCTTGCCGACATACTCATACCATACACATCCATATATGTACAAGGAAGTTCATCGCAGCATTTCCATGTTAGTAAATAATTGGAGGCAACCTAATACTCATGTTAGCAAATGGTTAAAACTTTGTTATAATCATACAATTCCATGCAGTGGCTAAAAAGTTTCTGGAGAATCAAACTATATTACTGTGACCACCAAAAAGCATGATACAATTTTACTATTTTTCTCCCATTTTTATATGCATAGAAAACGTCCCAAGGTACACTTTTCTCATTTACTCCAAGAAATGCGTTTTGGAAAACTGTTCTGGAAGAGTCGGTTTTCTCTGGCGGAGAGAATGTTTATGACCGAATTAGTAATTCCTAAATGGATTAAGTTGCAATTCCAAACCAGAGCTGCGGGGAGCGGGCAGGCTCAGGTTTCAGGCCAGGGTTCATAGTTTGTGTGAAGCTGCAATAGTCTCTTCCAAGAAGAGAGTGGGTGTGTGGGGTGGGGGTCGGGGAGACGGGCGTGGAATCCGGATTATTCTCCTTCGCCTTTGGACGAGTCCTGGGACGCGGCAACCCATCCCTGGAGCTAGTACCCACTGGGCTCTCGGTTGAAGCCGATACCCACCAAAGCAGTTCCCCGGTTAGAAGACCGGCTTCTCTAGTGCATCTTCTGCCCTCCCTCCCCTTTTTGCCTTTACCGAGTGGTTTTCACTCGAATCCAGGATCCGCCTTCTTCTTGTTCCTCCCTGCGACGCGCCAGGTTCTGTTTTAAATTCTGCCTCCTCCCTAGTGTCTTCATTCCTGAAAAGGGAGGCGGACGGAGGAAAATTCCACATTGATATTCACGGGAGCTTAGTTTGTCTCAGGAATATTCAGGATGTCATTTATATTGTAAAAATTTAGACACGCAGTTTAACCAACTTCTTTCCATTCCATTCCCCTGGCTGTTATTACTCAGTCTTAGATAAGAGTTTTGTATGGATGTGGGAGTGACAGATGTAATTGACCCTAGGACAATTAACAGCATCTGCTGGGAATTCCAACTCGATTCCCTCATAAAGTGCAGAAATCAACACTGGTCCTCAAGAAATCTGCTAAAATATTAACCCTCGGCAAAACTGGTACATCCCTGAGGTTCCCACGGAGTTTTTCCCTTTGTACCAAAACAACCTGCACATGGAAATGTAAATTGAGGAAGAGTGCTCTGATGACTTTTGTACATTTTTTAAACTTCACAACACGCCTGGACACACCATAACAACCCTCTTACCTTAACAGAACCCCATTATATTTTACAGACTTACTCTATTCATCTTCTTGGATAGGAGTGAAACTAAGTTGATTCAGAGTATTAATTGAAATAATAGATTCATAACTGAGTCAAATCGTACAGGGGATGACAGTTCCTGGGAAATGAATTTTCTTCCACCCATTTAAAATTTTATTCCTCACTCCACCTGTAATTTATCCAGCTTACCTGGCAGCAAATGTGAGCTCTGTATGAAGGACTGTTTGAACTAAAGCCTGAGATGTGGGCCTTGGTTATAGTGATATTCCAAAGCCAACCAGCCTGGGAACATGATTTCTTTCATTCATTCAAAAAATTAAGCCCTATATGTGTTTTCCTAAGCTGTTTGCAACTTGATACTCCCTTTATCTAGTAAATGTGGCACTGGGCCCTCAGAATTCTGAATAAATGAATTATGACAAATTGTCAAATTATGACACTGGATTTTTTCAGCTTGCTTGGAAGTCATGATCTGAGGAAACAATCCACATGAAACAAACTCACAAGAAAAGAACACAGAAACAAGGACATCGAATTTCGAAGATTGTCGGAGTCCAGCTCCAGCAGTGGGGTGTGAAGCCCAAAAGGATGAGACGGAGTCGGCGTATAGAGAGACAGGACAGAGTCAGATGGAGGTGGTCTCTCGACAAAGTGTCGATGACAGCTTTATTTATACCATTTTGCACAAGGATATGATTATTTTTTATTGTTCTGATGATTAATTAGTACAGGCAGTTGTTTATTAAGTATAGGCAAGCTTTTTTCTTTCTTCTCCTTTCTAGTCTATTCATGGTTGGTCAAGAGTTAGACAGGTGATTGTTTTTCTGTTCTTTGACCAAAACTTTTCCTATCAACATGTACTCTATTGTGTTTTACGTTTCTATGCAACGCAGTTTCTAAGTAGTGCATGTGACCATAGGAGCGTGCAGTATGTAGGAGCGACTATGGAGTCTATCAGCTCAGGGTGAAATACAGGTCACCTAGTGCCACAGTTACCTGAGATTCTTTCCCACAAAAATATTCTTAGAAGCTTTAATAAATTTATAATCAATCTAAAATCATAAACTCATATCTTCACCTTATACCCCTTTATAGGGCACAGGAGGCAGCAAACTAAATTTCCCCTTCTTATCTACATTTCTCTTTCTTCTGTGTGGAAACTAAAATCTCCCTGACATATACTACACAGGTCTATGACTCCACTATTGCAGGGACTAAACAAGTTCTTACATGGTGAACAATGCAAGGGCATTCATATCATAGAAACTGTTTCTGTTTTAACTACAAACCTTAAACTATAAACAATCACATCAAATATAATGTATGATTATTCATTTGATTTTTATACTTTATATGTGAATCTAATAAAATGTTAATGTAGTAGGTAAATGCAAGATATAGATAGCATGATTTAGAACTGTAAGAAGGCAGGTGTAGATGATCAGGTTTGTGCCTACAGACCAGGTCTTAATCCAAGCTGAACAAGGGCAACAAAACATCCACAGGTGTAGATTTCTCTCAAAACTGGGGGGGTGAGGTTCTAAGCCTCACCTCTGTTCCTCTGTTGGCCCCCATTTTCTCACCTGATGGCCCCCCTGTGACTATGCCTGTCTTAGGTTGTTCCTCCCTTGAGGAATCTTACCCGTCTCTGGCTAACCAACCATCTTATGGGGCCATACAGGGAGATGTAAAGCTGGTGAGAGAGAAGTAATATTCTTTGAAAAGGTTAGTTTTTCACTTCTTTGCAGATTTATGCTCTGTGGCTTCTATGCCCAGCACTTGTTTTGAGGTATCTTTACTTCCTGGAAAATTATGGTACTTGGTAATTTCACGTATGAGGCACAAATTCTAGTAAAGGGCTGTAATTAGGAAAGAAGAAAAACAAACTATAGAAGTAGTAGAGGGAAGAAAACATGAGATGATTAATTGTCAACAGGGTTATTCCATTCAACATTCTCTCATAACTATTTCTAGAAAACTTTCCATCACTAGTTTCACTAGCATTGTAAACAAGAGGGGCATTCTCAGTGGAAATGGGGCGGTCAATGTTTGACTAACAGCAGGTTTTGGTACTTTATGCCAAGTTCGCCATTTGGCCCCTGCATGTTCCATTCTTCAGGAGCACTGTCCTGAAAAGCTCCTGGGAAACTTATATTCTCATCCTTTCCACACTGCTCAGTAAAGGTTAGCTTAGCCCTTGGAAACAATGTAAGCAAAAACAAAGCCAATAGTATAATGGAGAATAACAAAACCAAGGTGGGTAATAGAGGGAGTCAGCTGCTAAGGCCCTGCTTTGTGGGGGGTCTTCCTCCAGCCTGAGCTTTGCTACACAGCTTGAGTAGCATGGCTCCCAGCAGAAGATAATGATATAACATTTCACAGATGTGTTTGTGTGCTGGGTATGAGAGATACATGAATTGTGGGAAATGTTATACCAAGCCAACCATAGTTTTTCACTGTATGGTCATTTTTATTCTACCAAATACAGTGTATGTATCAATTAATATCTTAATCTGGCTAGGTTATTTCAAAGCCAAAAATGTGGATGAATTCATTTTACCCAAAGAATACATGGATAATTGTATTTATGACAGTGAAATAAAAAATAGCACAAGCAAAACCCAAATTATTATTGTAATCACTCTATCACTTCTTGTAAGTTTAACAGCCTGAATACTGACCAGAGTTTTTCATCTATATGAGGTTGTGTGTAGGCTTCTTACTGTGACACCTCAATTTCTGGATCCTCTTGGTGGCTTACATAGATTCTTTATAGGCTCCAGGTTGCTTTGCATGTGAACCCTTCCTTGTTTAAGCCCCAAAACACAGAAATGCACCTGAGGGGCAACATTTGTACCTGACTACCACCTATGCTTTACCACCTTTACAAGTGGTTTGAACCCAACACTCCATCCATGGAGCTTTATTTGCAAGTGTAGGAGTGTATCAAGTTCTTTCAGAGTTCTATTTACTTTACAGGAATGCTATGGAAAACCCGGTGAAGACTGGCCCATCTCTGATGACTATGATCAGGAATCAGTTCCACACTGAGAGCACTGCTCAACTTCCCAGAGTCAACCATGGCCTTCCATGGACCCCACTCCACCCCTTATAAGTATCTACCATGATGCCTGTGGTACTTCTGTATACTTATTTACTAAATATCTGTCTTTTTCTAGTGGTCTGTAAGACTCAACACCAAGGGCCATGTGTTATTACTTACTGTCACTATGTCCTCATATAGTGACTTAGTAAATGCTAAATTAGATAACTGATTGATAAAATGGGCTAAGAAACTAATCAGATAGATAGAAAAGGGTCCAGGTTGAAGTGGGGGCGGGGAGGAGTCTGAGGCCAGGAGATAGAGTGAAGGTAAGTGAACGAGGAACAAGAAGTCAGAAGTTGGAACTTATCCAACAATCCCCTCGCCCCATAAACTACAAAGGCATATAAAAATATTTTTTAGTTTTCTATAAATATGTTTGGAAGGGGCTCCTAACCCCATCCCACCCATTAACCCCTGTTAATCTTTTCTAAGTAAAAAGGATGCTGCTGCCACCATTTGCCTGTAGACAGTAACTAGCTGCCAGGACTAGCCATTATCCCTCTGGCTCTAAGTAAAAGCTCTTTCAAGGGCTACAAGCAAGACTTTTAGAGTGCCCTACTGGGCCAGAAGCAAGCAGCCAACAATCAAACAAAACAAAACAGTTATTTGCAGTAGTTGTAATCATGCTAGTATGAATTAGGTGCACCAGACAAGAGAGTTGGAGTGGAGAGGAGACCAACAAAACTTCTTTGCCTAGGCATTCATGGGACTCCTGGTCAGAGAAACACAATAAAATATCTGCATAGCTAGTTATTATCAGGTAGACAGGAAGCAGGCTAGGAGGTAGAAGGGACCTCTCTGCCTCTCAAGAGTTCCTGACCAGTGAGGGTTCCTCCATGTTCTCTGAGAGTGGCTGGGCTCCAAAGATCCTAGCAAGCAGCCCTGGGTTGGTGCGGGCCTGGTCCTGGGCATTGGCTAGGCGACACCGTTCACGTCCTCCTGGCCAGGCTGCCTTCCGGGTTCTCAGCTCCTGCTCTGTAGGACGCTGGGCAAAGGCCCAAGAGCCATCTGGGCGGGTAGAGTCCCCATCAGCTGCAAGGAAGCGCTGTCCCCGTTCCACACTTCGCAGATAGAAATCAGTCTCACGCTTGGCCTGGGCAACCTCGGCCCTAAGGCGCTGCCTGCGCACCTGGCGCTCAAAGGCAAGATGCTCACTCAGGTGGGACCAGGTGAAACGGTGCAGATACTACTGAGAGGAAAACAAGAAAAGATCTGGGTTGGGTAGGGCAAGTAGTCAGGGATGATAAAGTGATGGGAGGGGGGCGGGGCCAACAAGAGGTCAGAGGTGCCTAAGCTGGGACTGGTAAGGCAGACAAGCCTACTCTCACCTTGAGGTTCCATAAGTCATATCGGAAGGGACTGCGACTGCGCGCGCCCATGGGCGTGCTGTGGAGACTGGCTGCCACACGCTTGGCTACGCGTTTGTCCCGGAACTCCACCCAGCCCTCGGTGTAGTCCTTGCTGTACTTGGACCGCTTTTTTCCTCTCGTAGCGGAGGCTGCCGCTATCTTCTTCTTGCGCCTCACGAAACCATCTGCACACCGAAGACAGAGCAGTGGTCAAGGAGACTGACGCGGCACCCACTGAACTTCACTCCCCACCAAGTCCCCAAACCTACCCGCCGGCCTGGATCCCATCTCAAGATCTTTGCAAGGAAGGAGAGAACTGTAAGATCCATTCTTCATCCCTGCACCTTTCCCCATATCTAATTCAATCCTTTCCTCAAATGTCAACAACTTAAATCAGGTCTGCCCTGAATGTTCTATTCAAAACTCGCACAAACCCCCAACCCCAATTCCAATTAGTGCATGTGTGAGAGTTGGGGGCGTTTGATCATATATTTACTGTCTCTGGACCTGGGTCGCAATGACATAGGGATGGGCTCAGTTACGTGAAAAAAAAACACTGAGATTTTTATTCAGGCTGTACTCATTTAACTAGTAAATTCAGGTCAAAAAAGAGGAGTAGGTGGAATCAAGATTAGAAGCCAACAGCTAACTCTCCAAGAACTGTCAGCTACGCATATGGTGCTACCCATTCCACTCAGGCCTCCAAGAGACTTGAGCACTATCAATTTACTCAAAAGGCCATGCTCCGGACGCCGGTCCCCAACCCCCCTCAGTGCCTCCCACCCAGCACAGCTGAGGCAAGAAGGACTCACCAGGTAGCGAGCGCCACCCTTCGCCCTTCATTGCTGGGCCTACGCACTCACTCACCTTCGGGCTGGAAAAAAACACGCCCGACTTCGCCGTACGCACTGAGAAGGTTCCGTACGTGCAGAGGCCGAAAGCGGGGCGGAATGTGGCCTAGATACACAATGCCCGGCACAACACGTTTCTTGCGGCCCCGAGCCGCCTCTTCGGATTTCTGCTGCCCCTCCTCTGCCTCTGGTTGCTGTTCTCTCCCTTCCGCAGGCTCTTGCTCGACAGATCCCTTCTCCGATTCCCTAGCTTCCATGCTTGCGGACATGTGATGCATGGCAGCCGTAAAGCGCTGAGCCATCTGACGCGAACCGCTGAGCGAGGGGGCAGGGCCGATGCAGGTGATGACAAATCAAAGAACAAGATTGCACCGTGAAGGTGGGTCCAGGCCTAAGGGTCCAGAAGAAGGCGGAAGTGGGGTTCCAAGTCAGCGGGGAGATTGAAAGCGTGACTGCGAGGTTAAAGGCCCATCATAGTAAAGTGACAGGACCCCTGAGCTGGAGAGGCAGAACCAGAAGAGATAGATACCCAAATATAACATACCCTATAGAAGTTTTGGAAATTTAAGCCTTGTAAAAAGAATAGGATGCAGCAACTTCTTCCGGAAATTTAGGAGAACTATTTTGGGAGTAGGGGTGGGTGGTGAGTTTCTGTGTGTTCTCCCTATCAAAATAGCTTTTTACCCAAGGGACCCGGGTGTGACTCCGGTTGGGATATGACTCACCTTTTAAGGGTTACTTAAATTTTGTGTAAAATTAAGTTTGACTTCTGAAATCTTAATTTTTCAAATTTTAGCAGTTTTGAATATTTTTAAATTTGAAGAGTTTAAAATGTAGTTTGACTTGGCAAATTTAAGTTTTGGAAATTTAAGTCGTGAGCTTTTAATTTAGTTTAAAATATTAATTTTAAATTTGATTTTTTGAATAAGGTGTCCAAAAATTTTAAATGTGACAACTATTCCTTGTATTTTGAAAACTTTTTTGGCACCTATTAGACATTTGTAGTGATATATGCATATTTATGTTATAAATACATGCTGTCAGGTACACACGGCCAGACTGGCAACGCCACGGCGGCGCGCCTAATTCTCGTCTCCAGGACTTATTTCACAAGTTTGTCCTCAGATCACCAACTACTTTTCCTTCCATGCGCTAAGCAATTGCAGAACTTAAGAGGCCCCAGCGGTTCTGGCCTCTCGCAGGAGAGCCCCGTGGGTGATGCCTGACCCAAAGCAGGGCCTCTTTCCCGGCGCTGGCGCTGGACCTCGGCGCCTTCTAGTTGCCTGACTATGCCCCCGACCAAAGGATGCTGTCCACGTTCTTTTAAAGCGCAGCAGTTCCTGGTGCGTTTTGTGCAGTGCAGACTGCAAAAGGCAGCAGCCAGGAGTGCACACAAATAATCCACCAGGTTTTTGCAAGGGGCCCCGGGCCAATTTGAGGGCAATACTAATCCGCCCTTGCTCCATCCAGATAAAATTTCCCAGCCCACTCAAACAGGGGTGCAAAATAACCCATTGGACAGAAACGAGGCTGTAAGTTCGGGGAAAGGAAATTCGGGGGCAAAATACCTCTAAAAACCAAAATCAGTCTAAGGGAGAAATAAAGTTTAAAATCCATTTTATAGCTCACAAACTGCAACCCGGGCCGTCTCTCTTTCTTTCTCCAGCAGAAGCAAAACCGGCCTTCCCTCTCATCTCTCAAGTACATATAAACCTTCTGTTGCCCAGGTAATTACCCATTGATATGAAGATGAACTTCTCTCCACCCCTGCGGAATGATGCAAATACACTAAAGCCATACTTTTTTCCACCTCTGAATGCCTAATTAATATGTAGATGTACTAAAGCCAGGCGAGGTATTCTGGAAATATTACAATTGTACCCACAAAGGCAAATGTGTCCACAGTTAAAATACGAGACAGCGAGCTATTTGCCAGACAGGCCTCCGAGTATTTCTAAAGTAGCAAGGCGCCGTGCTCTTTCGTGGAGCAGTCTAAAGATCTACTAAATTTGACTCGTGTTCTCATGCCCGTTTCATTAATTTTATTGAAGAGAACTGTTAGTTGCCCTCTACTCCCTTTTTGGAGGTGTAGAAGATGGTGAGAGGAGCAGACTGGGTCCACTTTTAATTCTTAATACAAATGTCTTCAAAAACATGGAGCAAGCAACAATGAATGAAATGAGAGCATATCTTGGATTGCTTAAATGGTCAGAGGCAGGGAGAGGGGCGTGCAAGGGAGTAGGTGCTGTCAATTGTGCCAGTGTGATGGACATGCTGATAACCTATTTTCTCCTTATTTGAAATTGTCATTAATATAATGTTTATTCACGTAGGTGTCAACAGAGAGCCCTATAGGGGCGTTGAACCTCAGAAAAAAATAATGTTTTTAGTGAAAACCTTGGAGCAGGACATCCTTATTCTCATTCCGCATGACCCCATCTTAACTCCTTGAAATTATCAATCTCCCGAAAAACCCATCTTATTTCAGCCACCCAGTTGACTTTCAGGGAAGCAACTGTTTTAGTACACAAATGATAACCTGTGTCTGTGTTCATGTTTTCTCAACACTCGTTAAAGGTCCGGGCCTGCATAGTATCACTAGAATCTCAACCAAAAGAGTTGCTGCTGCAAGCCAGTAACCTAAGGATGGTTGCATATCAAACTACAGTCCTCTGCTTTACCAGCTGAGCTATCAAAGATCCTGAAGTACTTTGTTGTATAAACACCTTAAATAATATTTATCTCAATGGCCATTTTGCTTCTGTGTTTACTGTTGAAGAACATGCAAACATGAAGGAGTTCCCTAGGGTGCTGGAAATTTTCTAAAACTGACATGGATAGTGATTATAGACTTAAAAAAATTAATGACCCTGGACTCTATAAAGATTTATATTTTTTACTGCATGTTTTAGGTCTTTAAAAAAAACAGCACCAGTGTTCCTAGTTCTGCTCCCTTAGGTTTAATATAGATAGGACCATCACCTTTATTACTGCTGCTGTCCTTCTGTCCCATCCACTTAGCACCTCCTCTCTCTATTAGAAGTGAAAGATAGATGGTAGGTTAGCCTAAATACAGTCAATAGGGTTGAAAACAGACCTACTGTATTGAAAGAGTTGCTTCCCAGTTGTTTCCGGAAACATTGCAGTTCTCCCTTTTGAAGGAGAAGGGAAATAACTGTAGATGCAAATGTACTACACACAAAATATGAGAGGCATTATGTATGTGCCTGTGTGTTAAGCAATCAGGTGGCTTATATTGCAGTGGGGCAATTAAATGAAACACACCCCTCCCCAAGTTAAAAAAAAAATGTTAGACATTCCATTTATAACTATGTTGTCATGCATTGCTAATGAGCACCAATTATGGAGTTCAGTTTGCTGGCACCTAAGACAGAAATGAATACCAATAGAGAAAACAGGAAGCCATCTAGACTGACTTTTTTTGGTGCTATATTTATGGAAAAGATTTCTGGTGAATTTTTCTGATTAATAATTGTTGCTTATTAAAATCAAATTTCTGCATAATTGTAGTCTTGAAAAAAATTAATTTTTCTTCAAAAAGTTCATCCAAATGATTTACATGAGAAATATCTGCAGCATGTAATTAATATTTAATTTATTTATTCAGTTCTTAGTTTCCATGGGAAACTAAAAATATATGGTCTAGTACATTTCTTTCCAATAATCTAACCTAATCTGGGGAAAATGTGAGAAGCCAGAATGGAAAAAGCCTAGAGAAATAAGCAGTCTCTGTGTGCTATAGTCTCTTCTGTGTAATACCAACCTTACAAATAAAACAGTTATTTTACCAGCAAAACTGGGCTTATTTGGGAATAGCAGAAATTGCAATTCAGGACAAGCAAGCTACAGCAAAACCTCTACAACAAGTCTAGAGAACAAAGGAGAGGAATGCTCTTTTATAAAAGAAAAGGACCTACCTAGTTAAGACAGTTGTTTGCAACCAAAAAGTCCTTTGGAGTAAACTGGAAGTCCCACAAATAGTGGCTTATCATTGACTGACTTGTGACACTCTCTCACTGGCTAGGCTATTGCCAGAGAGGGAGAAGAGCTTCCATCCTCCTGCTGGGTGGGAAAGTAGTTAAAACAATGTGGACTTGCAGGGTGTCCAACTCTTTCAGTGGGGTCTGCAGTTTATGAGAAGTGGTGGGTGTCAGAGCTCCCACTGCTAGCCTCCTGACTCCACTTTAGTGAGGTTTCCCTTTCTCAGTTTTCACATTACCAAGTGTCCTTACTGAGTCTCAGAAACCAGACATGAAAGCAGCCAAACCCTAGGATCTCAATTCACATTGTCTCAAATAAAAACTTCACCAATTTTCATAGAGGACAGCAGTGGGACTTTCTGAAAGTTCAATACTTTTTTCATCAACTAGTGCCTATTTGGGATCCCAGAGCCTCATGTCTCACAGTTACATGGTATTACAAAGTTGATTAGTCTTAAAAATTTCTGTAACTGATCTCACAAGTTATTTCCTTTACCTATAAGCTAATCTCAGTACAAAATTGGCACTTTAAGGCCTTTAAAGTTGCAATTCTGCCTGGAAGCTCTTTCCTCTGATAACCCCATGGGGATACAAGGGCAAGTAATTCTTACTTTTCACACTGATTTGCAGGTTACCTTATGGGAAAACTTCCTTCCTCTTCTTTCAGTCTGTTGTCAGAGCTACCCTCTTCTCTCTTGCTCCAGACCCAAGGTCAACACTGGCTTCTGTGTAAGCAAATCATTCCTGGAAATGCATCATCATCACTTGATTAACATCTACACTCACTATGTAGCACAGTAAATTTTTTTTTTTCAAAAGATACTGCTAAGAAAATGAAAAATCAAACCAGAGATTGGGAGAAAATATTTGCAGAAAAAACAGCTGGTCCAAGACTTTTATCCAGAATCCATAAAGCATTCTTAGAACTCAGTGAGGAGGCAATTTTTAACAACTCAATTTTTTTTAAATAGTGGAAGGATTTCAAGACACTTTACCAAAGAAGATAATGCAAATGAGAGATGAGTACATGAAAAGGAACTTGACATCATTACTCATGAGGAAAATGCAAAATTAAAACCACATGAGATGCCACTACATACTTACTGTAGGAGGCAGAATTCTAAGGTGGCCCTCAAGATTCCCACTCATAATGTCTGGAATAGTCCCCTCTCCATAAGTGTCTGTGGGACATGTGAATGTGTTGTGAACGGCTAACATTTAAAAGGCTTACTGTTGCAGGTGTTGTCTAAAGTCTAGAGAAACTGGAACCCTCATCTAATGCACATGAAA